AAGTTTTTAATAAATGATGATGGGAAAATGGATAGCCATTTGGAAGAAGACAAAATTGAATCCATAAGTCACACCATATATAAGAATAAACCCAAAATGAGCCAGATAAATAGGTAACAAAAAATGAAGTCACACAAGTGCTAGGATATATAATTTTCCCCACATTCTGGATGTAGAGAAAGGCAATCTGTTACTCAAAAACCCAAATTCGGTAAGATTTAAAGAAGTGTTAGCATTACACGCTGCCCTCTATAGCGAGCTCACTGGTTAATTGAATTTTTGTTCTCTTGTGTATGGTGTGTCACTTTCCACTGCTTCTTTATTATTTCCTTGCCTTTGGTTTATGGCAATTACACAATGACACACCTACTTTATATGCAAATTAAGTTTCTATAAAACTCAAACCCACCATAATTAACAACTATTAACTCTGTAAAAATGTACAGAAGAGGGGCTAGGTTCATGGCCAGATAGTTAAGGTAACCAGATCCCACATGGCCAACCACATCGTTCAAGTCCCAGACCCAGTGGCTTGAGAACATGTGCATGTGTGCCTGAAGTCCTGAAAGGAGGAATAGATGAAGGAGAAGGGATTGTGACAAGACCATTCTCTATATGGGATCCTACCTTCTCCCATCTCTCCTTCCCACATGCACTCCCACCACCACCACGTGCAACCTCTAGCAAAAAAAAAAAAAAAAAAAAGTGCATGAGCTCACTTGAAAGTGAATGAAAGGAGGGTAATGCTTGAGGGGAGTAAAAACTCAATAACTACATAGAGCGAGTTTATCGCTTTCATGCTGTCCTGAAGAATAGGTCAAACAGCTACAAGTCATGTAGGTAACTCTCCAGTAGAAAATCCATAGTCTTTCTGACCTATAAACAAGTGGATAGAATTCAGGAAAGTTCCAGTTGCAGGAAAGTCAGAGAAGATTCTTGAAAGAAGAAAGCTAGAGTAGGGTGATCCTCTAATTACCTGAATAAACCCTGAGCAAGTCTCTGGATTGAATAATTCAAGACTTGAAGTAGTATAACTACATATGAAAGAACTTCATTGGGATTTGAGTTGCTACCTGAGATAAATAGTTTGTGATTTAAGTTCAATCAAACGAATTACTTTACAAAAAAAAAAAAAAAAAAAAAAAAATCCCAGACTTTTCTAGAGCTTCTAAAACATAATATTCACCCTTCCCAGACTACAACCCAAAATTAATTGACAAATAAAGAACGAGGAAAATGTGACCTATTTGTAAGGAAAAAGACAACTGAACAGAGATAACCAGATGTTGGAGTTAGTATACAAGAGTATAAAGGGATAGAGCAGCTGCTAGGGGGAGCCCCAAATGCAGTGGTTAAGTGTAGTATGGAGGAAGCTGGGTCCTATATAGATGAACAGGGCTTGAATTCCCTCCCTGGCATATTGCTGGACAAGCTTTATATCTAGGATCATGACTGGCTGGAGAACTGAAGGAAGAAGGATCATTGGGGAGCTCTTTCTTTCTCTCTCTCATGTGCACATGCATGCACTCTATCATAAATTAAAAAAAAAAAAAAGAAAGCTGCTATGAGTGAAATGAAGTAAAAGAAAATCGTGACAAAAATATCTAAAGAAAGATATTGCATGCCTAAAAGAGAAATAAAGAACAAATACAATCTTCTTTATCTGTAAAAAACTATCAAATAGAAATTATAGACATAAATAATACAATATCTAAAATTGAAAAATTCACTGGATGGTCTTGGCAAGCTTGAGATGACAGAGGAAAAGAGCAGAGAACTTAAAGATAGATGAATGGGAAGACAGCAGGTGGTGTGGTGGTTAAAGGTGATGGACTCCCACATGACTGACTGCAGTTCAAGTCCTGGACCTGGCGGCTTGCTTTCTCACACTCTCTCTCTCTCTCTCTCAGTCTCTCTCTGGTCAAATTACAATAAATAAATACAGTTAAATAATTCTTTTTAAAAAGCTAGCTCAATAGGAAATATCTAATCTGAAGAACAAGAAAAAGTTATATATAAAGAAAATAAATTAAGACTTGGAAATATGCAAAACAATAACATACATGTATTTGG